ATAGATAGATAGATAGATAGATAGATAGATAGATAGATAGATAGATAAATTGATTGGTAGATACATTGATTGATTATAGATGATAGATAGATGATAGATGTTAGATAGATAGATAGATAAATTGATTGGTAGATACATTGATTGATTATAGATGATAGATAGATGATAGATGTTAGATGGATAGATAAATTGATTATAGATGATAGATAGAATGATAGATGAGATAGATAGATGGATAGATAGATAGATAGATAGATAGATAGATAGATAGATAGATAGATTAGATAGATGAGAGAGAGAGAGAAAGAGAGAGAGAGATTTTGGGGTCTCTTGTGTATGTGTGTCAGCCTGCAAATCAGTGACTGGACTAGTCCCTGTGGTTTCCTTGGCAAGGTTTTTCAGAAATGTTCTGCCATTGCCTATTTCTTAGAGTTGAGAGACAGTGACAAGCCCAAAGCCGGTCACTTAAGCTGGCTTTGTGCTTAAGGCAGGACTGGAGCTCACAGTCTCCCAGTTTTTAGCCCGGTGTCTTAACCACTAGTCCAACTGACTCTTCATTTATTACATATTATTCCTGGCAGTTTTCGTGGCAAGGTTTTTCAGAAGTAGTATGCCATTGTCCTAAGACCGAGAGGGAAGTGACTGGCCCTCAGTCACCCAGCTAACTAGAAAAATCCTGGCGGTGCAGTGGTTAGAGTGCAGCAATGCAGGCAAACTCTGCCCACTGCCAGGAGTTTGATCCTGACGGGGCTCAAGGTTGACTTCCATCCTTCCGAGGTTTTTGTCTGGTGCCTTAACCACAAACCAGGCGGGTTCTGAAACTTCATGTGAATCCCTGCCCTATTGAATGAATAGAATAGAATTCTTTATTGGCCAAGTGTGACTGGACACACAAGGAATGTGTCTTGGTGCAAATGCTCTCAGTGTACATAAAAGAAAAGATACATTCGTCAAGAATCATCAGGTACAACACTTAATGATAGTTATAGGGTACAATAGAGTAGAGTAGAGTAGAGTAGAATAGAATAGAATAGAATAGAATTGAATTGAATTGAATTGAATAAGAATTAAGAATAAGAATTAGAATTAGAATTAGAATTAGAATTAGAATTAGAATTAGAATTATTAGAATTAGAATAGAATAGAATTTCCCAAAGGTGCTTTTTCAACAGGCAACTGGACTTTCTGGTTTTTCTTTGAAGATGTTTCGCTTCTCATCCAAGAAGCTTCTTTAGTTCTAGTTCTATTCATTTTAATTTTACTAGAAGTGAAGAAGCTTCTTGGTTGAGAAGCGAAACATCTTCAAAGAAAAAAAAACAGAAAGTCCAATTGTCTCTTGAAAAAAAAGCACCTTTGGGACTTCTCCCATAATAAGAGCGTGGAAGAGGAAGGAACAAGAAAAGAATGGATTCTTAGCTTCCCAAGAGTTTGACCTCGGTTTCCTGGGCACCGGTTACTTACTGCCAGAAAAATTTAAGAACACCCCATTGGCTCTGTGCAGGACTAGAACTCACAGTCTACTGGTCTGATGCCACTACAGTGCACCAAACTGGCTCTCTTTGATGGTTTAGAGTGAGCTTAATCCCTGTGTTCTCATCTCGTTTTAGATGAGAACGTCCCCATTTTGCACCATTTAGCGATTCTGTAAGATATCGGCTGAAACTTACTTTCTTTTTTGGCGTGGATTTTAATGATTCTTCAGACTCAAGAAACACTCTCACCTCCCTCTCCCACCCTTCTTTCCTCCCTCTTCCCTTTTCTCTATTTTGGTTCTTCTCCTCCTTCAGGCAGGTCCTGGTGATTTTATCCCAACTGGAAGGAAACGCCGGATTCTCCATCACGCACCGCCTGGCCCACCGCAAGGCCACCCAGGCGTTCCTGAACGACTGGATGTCCACCAAGGGGACGCACAACCCCCTGCTCACCCCCGAGGTGGCGGGACTTCACGGGCCCCGGCCGCTATGACAAAGGGCCCCCCCTGCCCCCCTCTTCTGCTTCTGCCTTCTTCTAGCCCCGCCTGTCTCGCGCATTGCCCCAGCCATCCGTGCAGAGCCCGTCAGGATTAAGGAGGACCGACGAGTCGCGGGTTTCAAACGAAGCACCTCGTCTCCCGTTCTCTAGGGTTAGGCCGGGAGCTGCTCAGGTTCCCCTCCCCCTTCTCTCCTTCCCCCGCCCTCCCTTTTCCCACAGAAGATGCACTTTATCCAAAGCTGCGGTCAGGATAGGAGAGCAAGGAAAAAAAAAAATTAGAGCTGGGGGGAAGGATATGCCCCTCGTGGGCTTCCAGCCCTACCGAACGGCCTGAGCGCTGCCAGCGGCACGGCCCATGGGGACGCGGTCCTTCCCTCAGCCACCAGATATCCTACGGCTGCAACAATATATCTCTGGCGAATGTGTCTGTCTGTCTGTCTGCCTTCCCTCGCGGTTCCTGGTGTCAGCAGCTGAGGAGGGGGGCGGACATTAGAGAGGGTCCTTGGCTCCCCTGAGGGGGAAGGAGGTAGGTTTCGTCTCCCTTCTGGCACCGGCTATCCAGGCCCAGGAGATTTACGGCAGGGGTGTCCAACCTCGGGGCAACTTTTGATACCTGTGGACTTCGACTCCCAGAATTCCCCAGCCAACCTTACCAGACCTGTGGACTTCAGCTCAATTCAAGGAAGCCATGCTGGCTGGGGAATTCTGGGAGTTGAAGTCCACCGGTCTTAAAAGTAGCCAAGGTCAGACACCCCTGATTTCCAGAGAGAGAGAGGGAGCCTGCAAATCCACCTGGGTAGACCTAGGCCTGCAGTGAGCGGCCTAAGGTGAGCGGCGTTTCACACTAGCCCCCCCCCCCTCCCAAAGCAGGTTGCACAGGATGCAGCAGCCACCTCCCAATGCAACACGTGCAAGAAGCAGCTGTGGTGCAGAGTGTGGTGCTTTTCCTGGAGGGACTCGTTGCTGCAACCCAACGGAGCCCTCCTGAGGACACGGAGCTGGGGGGTGTCTTTGATTTGGCACCTGCCCCTGGTTCCCTCCTCCTGACCACCCACTCCTACCTGGGGCTGGGCGAGGAACAAAGGCCCACGCCTCCGTTTCGGTGGACGGCCAGCTAATGCTTTATCCGCCTGGGAAGAGCGAAAGGTCTTAATTTGTCTTTGTGTTGTCGTGTCCTTGTCGGTGTCCTCTAGGGCAGGGGTCTCCAAGCTTGGCCACTTTTAAGACTCGTGGACTTCAACTCCCAGAGTTCCTCAGCCAGCAACGCTTCCTTGAATTGAGCTGAAGTCCACAGGTCTAAAAGGTTGACTGGGGAATTCTGGGAGTCAAGGTCTATAGTCGAAGTTAAAGTGGCCAAGATTTGAACACCCCCCTGCCATAAATCTCCTGGGCCTGGACAATTGAGCTGAAGTCCACAGGTCTAAAGGTTGGCTGGGGAACTCTGGGAGTTGAAGTCCATGAATCTTAAAGTTGCCAAGCTTGAAGACCGCTGCCCTAGAGAGGTGAAGCCCGTGTGCGTTTGTTGGGTTGCAAGGTCCTTGCGTTGCAGCTGGGGGCCGAAGCAGAGGAAGTGAATGCACGGGACCTCGGCCCTTAGAAAGAGTTGGGAGTCCCATTTCCTTGTGCAAGTTCTCTAGCTGTTCAATGAGGGAGGGGAGCACACGCCCCCATGTCTGTTTTTTGGGCCCTTCCCCACCCCCACCCCACAAGAAAGATAAGCCAGAAATCAGACATGGGAGGAGAGGGAAACAGGCTAGTGGAGTCCCTCTGCCTTCCGTGCTGCAGGGTTTAGCTCTACCTGGAAAGTTGACAGGTGGACTCACCTGAAGACAATGGAGTGAGTTTAGCACTTTTTACCTTCTGCCGTTGGATGCTCAGCCTCCCATAGAGGCCTTGAGAAGCCACCAGTAGAAGATTCTTCCATCTTCCCATGAAGGCCAGCTGAATTCCTGCAGGGAGATGGTGGGCCTCTAATGGTCAGAAGGTGGGCAAGATGGTCAGAAGGAGGACAAAGCTGAGCCTCGTGAAGATCTGTGGAGTTCAGACTCGGGGACAGGGTATAATCCAGGGCAGGGTTGGTTTCTAGTGAAACAGGATGGGTTCAACCCAGGGAAGCGGGGATAGAGTTCTTCTCGCCAGCCCTCTTGATCTCGAGAGAAGGTTGGAGGAAGTGTGGACTCAAGAACGCTGGGGCGTCAGCAGGAGCAGATGTTCCTCTTCAGGAGCAGATGTTCCTCTTCACAATCTGAACTCCATGGTCTCCTGTCCAGCTCACTGATTTCTGCCCTCGTGCTGATGAAGGCATCTAGAGAAGGTTCGTCTCAAATCTGCTGCAGATAGAGCCCCTTTCCTCTTCCCCAGCCTCTTGTCTAGGCAGTAGATGCCGTAGGGATGGCAGTAGATGCTGGGACTGGGAGAAGGGGCGGACTTGTGCCCTTTGCTTGAAATTTGAGGGGGGCAGGGGGCTTCCCAGTGGGGCTGGGAGTGGGGGACGATTTGGCCAGCTTGCTTGACATGTCTCCTCCAGAGATTAGTTGGTGTTTAGCAAGACCAAAGGGAAGTGAGATGGTCAACATTTGGCCATAGTTGGCTTAACAAGTCATCCGGAGACATAAGCAGTGGCTGAATCTTCTCCGGAGTCCTTGGTCTACCAACTGGTGGCACAACAACAATCATGGGTCTTGACTGTTGGACTCTCCTGCAGAATAAGCACTGGACCACGCAAAAAAAAATTTTTTTTTTAGCTCTGCGGGCTGATCACAAATGGGACAGAGCCATAGAGAGAGCATTAACTCAGGCCAGTCAGAGAAAAGGACAAAGGCAAAAGCATCTAGGTATCCCTAAAGAAAGTTGTGTACCTGCTCCTGCGTAAAGGCAGCCGCTGGAAATTAGGAACTGGAGATGTTTCTCCTGCGCCACGAAATGTCATCCTTCCAGTGTCCAGTGGATAGATTCCCCAGCTGATCATAGAATCCTGCATTCTGTAGAATTGGAGCGGTTCTCTGGTCCTCACCCCACTCCACCCCAAAGAAAATTGGTGGAGAGGGCAGCTTTTGCTCACCCAGATGACAAAAGATGTGGACAAACTTCTAGAACGGAGGTCTCCAAACTTGGCAACTTTTAAGACTTGTGGACTTCAACTCCCAGCTGGAGAATCCTGGAAGTTGAAGCCCACGAGTCTTAAAAGTTGCCAAGTTTGGAGACCTCCGTTCTAGAGCAAAGTTGACAGCTCTGTGTTCAGAAAAGCCAACATTTCAGTCTCCTAGCACTTGCTTTCGGGAAAATGGTAGTGGCCTTTAGTGGCAAGTGGCCCCGGGCTGGGAGGTGCATTGTGAATGGGCGGCATGGGGTGAGGTTAGGAAGATCTTTACAAGAAATCTGACCAGCTGGTTTTGTTCACCTGTCCACCCAAAGGCCAGCAACTCAATCCTTCCAAAGTGTTGATACCCCCTTCTGACGTCGAGAGTTGGTTGAACTGAAGTTTTCCTGGCTGCAGGAAGGATTTGGGATTATGATTCTCTTCTCTCTCTCTCTTCGTGGAGAGCTCAAGGCAGCCTCCATGTGTTTTAATAGCCATTCTTCTTCCCCGGAGAACCTTGAGCACGTTTGGGTGATGGGTAGGAATGTTTAGCAATTAACGCTGATGTCAAAGCAGATTTGTTTGCAAATACACCATTAAACTCTCAGGAGGAGGGGAGCGAGAAGGGCTTTGACGTGTAGGAAGTGGCATCAGCATCGCATGGAAACCTCCAGAAGGACAGGGTATGCCTGAACTGAAGGCTAAAATGGCATTGCCAGGACTTGGGGAATGAAGCAGCAATGCCAATCTTTTACTATACTTCCTACCTGTAACATTTATTCCTCACCCATATTCAGGTAGCAGCGGAAAGGAAGCTTAATTTCATCTCCTTGTTTGTTTGTTTCTTCTGCTCCTTTGCCCTCTTCACTTGTTGGCTCCCAAGTCAGCTTCCATCCTGCCTCTGCTTTTCATTGTTCTGGGCCACAGGAATGGCCCATTTATCCGTTTGGGTTCCGTCCGAAAATTTTCGTCGGCCATTTCCGCTTTCTTAAGCCTTTTTTCTTTCGTGTCTAATGTATGTGTGTGTCTTTTCGGTTCACTCTCGCTGAGCTGTGAATAATTTTTAATCATGTAAATATTGTGCACCTCTTAAGAAAAAGCATAGGATATTTTATCAATTGTAAATCAAATCTGTAATCAGCTCCCTGTATAATATGAATTATCCCATGAGTGGTTTTCAAGCTCAGGTTCCAAAGGACCAAATAAGAATTAAAACGTTGGTTTTTTTTTAAAAAAAAAATGTTTGCCTTTCTCGATATGTTTTGGGGAGGATGCAGATGTTGAAAGAGTGAAAAGGGTGCATTTAATTTTTCTCCACTGGGGTGTTGGGAGAAGTGTAATTACAATTTCCATCCCTTTAATCAGCACAGCCAAGAACATTTCTCAATCTTGCCGACTTTACACTATGTGGGCTTCAATTCCCAGAATTCCCCTGCCAGCCAGAATTCTGGGAGTTGAAGTCCCCACTTCTTAAATTTGCCAAGTTTAGAAAACATAGCATTGGTTTCACCCAACACATTTAGAAGGCTACAGAGCTGAATTTACTCAGTATAGTAAACTTGGCTAAAACACGAGAAGTATGTGGTGTAAGCATATTTAATAATTCAGCTGGTCCCGTCATTTTATGTGTAACTAATGTCCCTTATTTGAACACAAAATGTGGCCAGCAGTCATTCTAGGTTTAGCAAGTTGGATAATTCAGTATTTTTAGTTCTCCCATCAATATTTTGTGTTATGTGCAAAAGTGGAGATAACTCAAGAGTTCTCAACTGTCTGTATTGCCTGCTCTACTCCAGAGTAAATGGAACTGGGAAAAGGAGACTTTAAAAGACCATATACTAGAGTTTTAACACATCAGAAGCATTTCACTATTCAGGGTGTGGGTGGGTGTGATACTTGAGTTGGCTACAATCATGCCCTTTGACAGGGAAAAAATGAGACATAAGTGTGTGTGTGTGGGGGGGGAAATCTGATACATTAGATACATAAAACATGTACAGTATTTAGGTACAACATGCATTTTGTAAATTAGACTTCGCTCAGTTGAGCTGCCGGGCCATAAGTAGGTTGACTGAACACTCACCAACAGCAGAGGGCAGCAAAGTCCAAAGATCAGCATTAGCTGTTCCTCCCTAACCACAATCACCCATAAGATCAGAAGATGACATGGTTGGAAGGTAGAATAACAAGAGTTGGAAGGGACCTTGGAGGTCTTCTAGCCCAACCCCTTGCTCAAGCGGGAGAAGCCATTGGGGGAACTGCCAACCCTTAGAGTGACTCCCATTTGATAACACTAATTGCAATCAATGGAGTTCATCTATCAATTTCCATCTCGTGGTTGTTCTCTGCAACCCAATGAAACACCCTGTAGATATCATCAGAGGTCTAACGCCATTAATTGCTGCTCTGGTCCATAGTTACGTGGACACCAGCCTTCCTCCACCTGGTGTCTACTTTCTTCAGATCTGTCAGACTTCACCCATCTCCCCAGGTGGCACACTCAAAGGTCAACAGGAAACAATCAGGCTCATTTAAAATGGAAACTTCATCACCATGTGTGAATTCATCTTGGGTGGAGATACTTGCAGGTGCTGCCCTTAGATCGGAGAGCAAATGGACACTGGGCCTTGTCTGCAGGGGCTTCTGAGGCTCAAAACATCCATCTCCTAAAATAAGACCTCCAGGTCCCTTCCAACTCTGTTATTCTCTTATCTTGGCCATTAAGACTGCTCAAAGGAAGCATTGATATGACCAGGTGTCAGATGATGTGTTTAAACTATTCAGGTTGGCTTACTCCAGTACAGTGATGGGATTCAAAAAAAATTACTACCTGTTCTGTGGGTGTGGCTTGGTGGGCATGACAGGGAAAGGATACTGTAAAATCTCCATTTCCTCCCCACTCCTGGGGGAAGGTTACTGCAAAATCCCCATTCCCTCCCCACCCCACTAACCTGCTTTCCAGCTCCGTTCTCCTGTGCAGGGCAACGAAAGAAGACCCAGTCATTAGCTGGGACTTGGGAGGTGGAGAATAGATGGGGA